AACTTTTGACCACATGTGAAACTTGTGATTGCATATTTCTCACATGTGCAAAACATGATATTTTCTTTTCCACATGAATGTCTTCAGAATGTGATCTATATAATACTCATGTAAGATTTTTTTTAAAGTATTAGTGTGTATGATTCATTACATGTTGTTATACATGTGAATTTGAAAAGTTTCATGTGAAAAGCACATGTTGTAAAAATGTAAAGCAAATGTGTGCCTTTGTAATTCAGAATAAAAAGTACATATAATTCACATTTTAATCACGTCATTCCAATTTAATGCAAATTTGATTCTTATTTAAAGCACGTTTGAAGCACACTTTGAGGCACATGTGTATCACATGTTAAATAATGTTGTACTTCATGTTAAATAAACATGTTGTACATGAGTTTTGCATGTGATTTTCACGTGTGAAGATAATTGGATTTTTCTGTAAAGATTCTGTAAACCTAAACTGAAGTAAAAAGGTCAGTAAAGTAAAGTCTTTGCATGACACATTGTGGAAGAGGTTCTTGTTGGAAGGGAAATCTCTCACCATAAAATCTGAGAGGACATTAGAGGAACTCCAAATGTTATAAATATTAGTTGGAAGGATTGAGCTGATTTTGGATTCGTACTTCAGATAGAGGGATCTCTGGGCTGCCCATCCTGGATCTTTATAACCTAATTTCTATGAAACATGGAGAACAGATGGATAAGAAATTCAGGGTCCCATCAGAGAACCTGGAAGTTTTTCTCCTTCTGTTATCAGAACGACATGTTTAAAGCAAGCATCATTTTTTCCCTGTCGCTGCTGCCTGTCTGATGGATTTATTTCAATCTGGACTCAGTTTTCTCTGAGAGCTGTGACTTCCTGTCTGCAATGCAGAGCAGAGAGGCCCTGCAGGAGTGACACACACACACAGGGACCCAGTAATGAGGTGTAATTACACACAGCACCATGCTGTTATATTGACTTCCATAGTTAGCATTCACACACACACACACACACACCTTAAAAGCATCTACATTTCTGACCTTACACTGCAATTAACATGAGGGCCAAATGACATGCACACAAGCACAACCCTGACTCTGTGCTCAGAGAAAGTCACAGATGTAAAAGTGAGTGTGTGTGTGTGCAGGAAGCTGCATGGTTTGTGGCGATAAAGTGTAGCTTCGAACAATGTTACTGCTTCGACAAACACTCTGACCAAGTCGCCATAAAAGGCCCCAGCTGATCTTTTGATTATAACCGTAGAAAAGACGGGGGCAGAAAATATAGAGAGAACGCCCAAGATAAGAGCGAGCTGCACCGAGCTGCCCGAGGCGGGAAGAGAAAGGGAGGTTTGCCAGAGGAATGGGTGAAAGCTAAAGGAATGGTTCCTTTCTGAGTCCTGAATGGCCTCTTAGTTCTCTGAAAAGGAGAACCCCTGCCACCGGGGAACAAGGATGTGTTTTTACTTTTCAAAATCTCGTAGAGAGAAGCAATCTACATCAGAATGGGAGTTGAGGTTCTGAAAAATTATACAAACCTCCCCTGCAGTACCTGCACTGAGCACTGCATTTCATTTCATTTCAGTTTATTTATATAGCGGCAATTCACAACACGTCATCTCACAGTGTATTCTCATTATGAGTTCGTATGAAATCGTACGAAAAGTTATGCACCGTAATTTCGTATGTTTTGGACGTTTTTTTTCGTCGTATGCGCATGCGCATCTTACGCACCATTCAAGAACGTAGAATTAAAAATACAATTAGCCCTAACCCTGACCCTAACCCTAAGATATAAAACAGCAAGCAACGTAGTTAGAGACATGAAGAACTGATTATTGCACTGTTTTTCCCATTTTTACGTCCATCCGCGGATCTGCTTTTTTTGTCTGTCTGCCTGCACATGCGCACTGATCTGGTTTTTTTAAGTAAAAACATCCAAAACGTACGAAATAGTGTGCATAACTTTTCGTACGATTTCATACGAACTGATAATGAGAATATGTTGCATCTCAAGGCACTTTACAGTTCAATCAATCAAAGTTTTCCAAGGAAAACCAGTCGATTGCATCGACTCCTTGACTCGAATGCAATCCCTCACACTAAGCATGCTTGTAGCAACAGTGGAGAGGAAAAACTCCCTTTTAACAGGAAGAAACCTCCAGCAGAACCAGGCTCAGTGTGAGCGGCCATCTGCTGAGGCCGATTGGGGTTCAAGGAGACAGAAGCAGAGATACAAAAGCAACTGTAAAAGGCAGCCGAGTCCAGGAAAAACACAGCCAGGCAGACAAGCTCAGAGCCAGCTCTCATTTTAGAGGATGAAGAGAGCACATCCAGCCAGTCACGGTCAGAGAAAAACAGGACTACACTGGAAAAAAGGCCAGTCTCCAACACCTATAAACAAAGATGTTAATGGCAGCAGCACAGCTGATATTTCTCTCCAGGATGGGGTCACAGCCAAACA